AAACCACTTTGAAGATACCACCACGTATTACAGCAGCCATTGATATTTTCCTGCTAATCTATCCATAACTCTGTAATGTTTGTATGGTTCCTATCTTATTTCATAAATGGATGTATGTTTATTATTATGTGTTTCCTACAACAACCATTGAGAATAGTTAATGATTATTCAATTGGTCATGCATGTATAGCTCTATTTATTTTCTTTAGAAGCCACTTTGAAGATACCAAAGTATAGTACAACAACTATTGATAATCTCCTACCTCTTTTGTCTGTAACTCACTATTATTTGTCTATTTGTTTTCCTGAGAAACTATCTTGTAGATAACCATATGTAAAACAATAACCATTGATAATTTCCTACCACTTTATCTGTAATTTGGTAAGCCCCTCCCCCATTATTATGTTATCCTTCTTTTACTCTTTAAAATAAAAACAAAATAAACTTCCCTTCCTTTAAGCTGTGGTGTTGGGTATTGTGTCCCAACTGGGGTGTTGGGTATTGTGTCCTAGTGACTAGGACAAGCTTATTTCAACCTCTCCCCCCACTGACAGTGTCAGCCTCTGTCCTGGTTTCTGATCCAGGGGCCTGTGGCTCAGCTTTTTAAAGCCCCATGCTTGATTCCACAGAACCACAGAGACGAGATGTTGGCAGTGGACTCAGACCTTATATTTAGACTGTCATGGTTTAGGTCTTAAATGTGTTGCAGGCTTGATGCTCAGTGGAGGAAATCAGGAATTGAGGTCACCTGGAGGAAGCAGGTCATTGGGGACATGCCCTTAAAGGGCATATTAGGACTCTGCCCATTCCTCTCTTTCTCTTGGCTTCTGGCCACCATGAGAGCAGCAGCTTTCTTCTGCCATACTCTCCCACCATGATGCTTAGCCTCCCAACAGGCCCAAAACAACACACCAAGCAACCATGGACTGAAACCCTGGAAACTGTGAGCTGAAAGAATCATAAAAGTTTCCTCCTTTTAAGACATTTATCTCAGGGATTTTGTCACAGTCATGGAGAGGCAACTAACACAGAGACCTTCCCAAGTACCCCAGAGTTTCCAGCTCTGATGTCACCAACCAGACACCCTCATCTTTCTTGTGAGTTGCCACACTGACCATTACCCAGACTCCACA